TTAACTATAGTATTCTTTCATATTTCATTTATATGTATGATAATTTGATGCTGTGACACTTTGATATACTGTACCATAAATTCTACAGTGGACTCTAAGAGCAAAAATCATGTTACTGATATGTATAATATTTTAAATTACAAGTCACATTTTTCTTTTTATGACCAATAATCGCAGATAAAAATGAAATAAATGTCATAACTACATGATGAATTTCAGAGTAAAAGAATCTTTGATGACTAAAGAATTTTTTTTTAAATTTGATTAACCATGGGACAAACTAACCTTTGAAAGTTTGATTCGTTATTGGAAAAAAAAACAATGGAACTTTAATTTTCTTTGGGGGGAAAACGATGGAAATTGATTTTGGGGGAAACTGAGATCTGAAATTTAACTTAAAATTTTTAGTTACTTTTGAGAGAATTATAGTTAAAATATAGACAACTTGTAAAATATTTCAAAATAATATTTCAAAATGCTAGCTACTTACTTAGTCTATGTATAATCTGAATTCAGCCTGATGGAATTGTAGATTACTCAACGATAGATAATATAATTCTGTGAATAACTCTTAAATTTCTATGTTTATGGTGTCGACACTGCAATAAAAAATAGAGAAATTCATAATATTCAAGGTCATCTATTCCAACATGTTGCTCATATTTGTATATTTAATGAGAGAGACATTACTTTAATGAATTGTGTTAAAAAGTCTTTTGCCAGAAAAATCTAAACTGAAAAAATCAATTATTGTCTCTGAAGTATATCTAATTGAAAAATAATTGAAAATTTGATATGGGAAAAATAAAACAAAATTAACATTTTTTCTTATAAAAAAAGATATTAAAATAGATAGAACTAGAACTGCTCTGATATCTGTGGTCGTTGAACAACCAGTTCGTCTACAGTACAGGTTATTTAACATAAAATGTATGTTTGCTTATACCACCTTATAATTATTTATTTTACCAAAGGTGATTGAACCTTTACACCCACCGTGTTATTTCTCCTGCTAGACATCATCGACAAATTTAATTGATAAATTTTAATCTTGAACATCAAGAGACTTTGTCAAAGACATTGACCATGTAAGAACTGACAGTAGTACACTGCACCTGCGCGATGGTTAATTAAGAACACCTACAATAGAAATTACTAGATTTAGGTTCTTACCAGCAGTACTATGATAATATATCTTCAATACAACCTATAGTAATGATGCTGGAAGTAATATACATTGAGTGGGTTAGATGGTAACATGTGTTTTGTCGGACCGTTTGTCTGAGACAGTTAGGCTACAGTTTGGTTCGAGAGTTCGGTAAAACGCACTGAGAACCTTTTTTTATACCTATTGTTACCTATTAAGATCTTGGCTTAAATGTTTGCAATGCATATCACAAAATTTGGGTGTAAATTTAATTTACCCTCATTGCAGACCACGCCAACGAATGCAAATATTGGCTCATGTCTGATGATACCGTCTATGCTGATTTAAGTGTGAAGTTAAAAACAGTCCAGCACCTCATCAACCGGTTCAAAATATATATATTTTTTGACGGCTCAGTAAAAACATTGGAAATGTTAGACCTTTTAAAGGAAGTAGTTTTAAGGCTATCAGGAGTCACAACTGGTGTGATCCTTCTGTATTGATCAGGTGAAATGGAGTATAATCCATAGTCAAAACTAATACAGAAACAATGACAATTGGTATAAATATGTTAGTAAAAAATACGATCCAACGATAGGTGTATTTTCAAGCAAGATCATTATAACGACCATAGAATTTGCGCGAAATGCTGAATTTAAACGAGATTGTAGAAATCCATGAAACGTCAACTTATTTACAGTAGCTTGTCTCGGTTTAGAAAATTGATCGTACTCTGAACATGCTCTTGCGTACCGAATCAGTTAGGAGATATAAACTAAATGGAGATGATGATGGGATGGGGGAGTTGACGATAGAAAACCTGAGGTCATCCTTTTTTGTTATATAGTTTAGTTGTTAGTTTTTGCTATTCAAGTCCATGCATGGTCAGTAAAAAATCAAATATGAAGGAAATGTAACAGGTTCTGTGATTTCTTTTATTTCGAGTTCACTGAGATATATATCGAGTCGACATATAAAAAAAAAATAACCATTGTTAATAATTGATAAAATGATGTTGATATACTAATATCTAATTGTCGAGGTGCAAGTCACATCAAGAATTTTCTTCCTCTCATGAAGTATTTTTTGAATAAGTTCTGCTTCATAAGAATATAAATCTAAGTAGTTTAGAAAACAGTTAGTGTCCTCGGAATTCCAACAAATTGTTGGACCTGGTCTCCAAAATCTTAAAAGATATTGTCAATAGCGAACTCCAGCGTCTGTTCAATATCAACTTCAGAAAGCTTATGACTAGAATCAGAATGATTTTTGTAGATGTTTTGTAGATGACCAATCACAAGATAAGAAATTTTAATACTTCCATTTTTATTGAAGAAGCAGTTGTTTATGATGTCAAAAAGCCTGATCTTGAATTTATCGTTGAAAAGTCATACTAGTAGTTTTGATGTTATTGATTTTGGAAAATTTTTACAAAAGATATTAAATCTGTAATAGTGTGGGCAAAGTAATAATAATTTTATTTGTGTAAGTTTGTCCCGCACTTATGAATAAAATTCTTGATCCAATTTCAACCAAACTTACCATAAAGCATATTTAGATAAAGGGGATTCAATTTTGTTAAAATAAAGGGGTCGTGTCGTCTTCAAAGGGGAGATAATCAAGAAAACGCAAAAATAGGGTGGGTGTCTTAATAATTATTTTTTCTCAAGAACCACTTGCCCAGGAAGTGGAAGCTTATGTGAAATTTTCCTGACATAGTGTATATTCAAATTTGTTCAAATCATGGACCCAGGGTAGGGTGGGGTTACAAAGGAGATCAATTAAAGTTTTACATGTGAATGTATAGGAAAAGATCTTTAATAATCTTCTTTTCAAGAACAACAAAGCCATGATCATGGAAGCATCCTCAGGTAGTGTAGATTAAATTTTGATCAAATTATGGCCCCTATGGATAGGGTGGGGCCACAATAGGCGATCAAAGTTTTAAATAGATAAGAAAAAAAAAGATATAAGAAAACACAGATTTATAACAGGTAAGGGTTGGAATATAGATAAGGCCATTCCAAGTTTTTTCTATGTTTAGCGTCCGCGTGCGCCTTGGTTTTTGACACCCCATATGAGAAAAAACAAACAAAATCAGGAGTCCTGAAATTGATTATTCTGGTCAAAATCTTTCAATTCTGTCAATATCTCTGAGTATTTGTTTACAATATGCCATATTATGTATATTTTAAGCATTTAATATCTGGATTTTGCTAAAGAATAGATTTTTGTACGAGAAAAATGAAATGCTTTGTATGACGTCATTTTAAAAACTATAAAGTCTGTGTTTTAATTTTTGGCTTGTTTGATTTTTTGCTAAACAGAGAAAAAACTTGGAATGGCCTAAGTACATAAAAAAAAAACATACATAACAATGAAATATAGAGTTCACGAACAATTTTGAAGCTCAAAGTCCATTAAAACAGTCTGTAAAGTCATCATTTCGTAAGTTCTATGGTCGATACAATGACCTTGTCAACAAATACAATCTAGTCATATGGTGACTGACGTTTTTCATACTAATTGTTACGCTATTATTTACACACTGAATTGTCGACGGATTTTTCCGTTATTTACCGATCATGACAAGGAGCACACGGCGGGTGTGACCGGTCGGCAGGGGATGCTTACTCCTCCATGGCACCTGATCCCACCTCTGATGTTTTTGGAGGTCCGTGAATGCTCTGCTCCCGATTTGTATTGTTTTAATAGACTTTGAGCTTGATTACTGTTCGTTATCTCCATATTTTTTTCATCACCTATTTTTTTAATCGAATTACAGAATAAAAAATATACACATTTAACACCCAAGTACATAATAAATATGTTCTTTGTTGATTTTCATATGCTTCTGAGACAGGTTTTAATTGTAGCTCAATGATAGTCAAACGTTTTTCTTGGACGTTCTGCATCCAGAAGAACTCAACAAGCATTGGGAAAGGAACAGATGCACGTACTAGTAACTATATATGTTATAAAAATATGCCAAATGTTAGTTACTTTATAAACTTCCAAGAATTATCTGTATCTAGATAGGTACAGGTGAAGATTCGTACTGGAATGTAAACTTACTATCAAAATCTAAATCTTATCAATTAAACGAAGTGCATCAGAAAAAAAAATGTCTTTGTAAACTGATTATAATCCCACACCTTCATTTTAATCAGTTTAATTAATGTGTCTATCGCAGCGGTCGATATGTTCCAGGATAAAAATGTAACAGGTCAATTTCAGGTAACGTTCTATTTTCTGCTCGTTAATGCTACTCACCAAATGTCTTGATTATAGGGAATCGAACATTACTTTATATGCACATGTACACGTAAATCCCCATCAAAAATTTAGATATTAGGTGATCAATTATTTCTAAAAATAAAAATGTAATTTTATACTATGTATTATGATAATATCATGATTATGAATTGACAGTGTTTTACTCCGTGCATTTTTACAGATGATTTATTGACATGAATGTACAGATACACAAAATTTTTGGGACGAAAAATACTTAGTGTGCATTCAGTGAAAATGTTTATCTTCATTTCATTTGATTAATCATCGTACTTTACCTGTAAACTACATATACCTGAATATATAATATATACAATAAAAATGCATTTGAACGATATGTTAAATCATTATCTGTACAAAGAATCTTCAATAGTCATTTGTAAAGTCGTATATTTCCTGTCTATACACACTGCAGGCTCTGTTCAAATTAAATCTAAACAACTTGCCGCCACATGATATTTTCTTGCCGAACAGCATCAGTTTGATGCTTGTATGTTTACGCGCTGTTTTAGTAGCCAGCCGTTATCCTATGTGCGTATCGATCGACTCAGCGAAACCATTCAATATGTTTATGATATTCAAAATGGCGCTTACGAAGAACTTTTGCATGCGTCGGTTCGACATCCCGGCTATGTCGTGGATTTTGTTGTGTTTGACCACAGTTTGTGAAGATATTTAGATACTCTCTTAGCCGACTTGATGCTAAGGAATGTTATTGTGTATTTTTGTTGAAATCGGATCTAATTAGCGCTTTAATTTGGTTCTACTGAATCCCAAAACCTGCTTCAGTTGCAGACGAGAATAGAAGGAGGTCTCTATCTCGTGCGCTCGAGCGATTACACAGAGATTTTTTTTTTATTTCTTCTGATTCTTCACTGATTAAATTGAATGAGACCATATTGCTTAACTCGATTATTGATTGTCGTGTTCTAGGAACCTCTTAGAATCTTTAAGCTGAAGTCTATAACAATGTGACTACCGAGTGCACAGTGTGTTTGCTGAAGGCTTCAAATAATTGATTCAAATCATGATTTCAATCGGAAAACTGGTAATTAAAATTCTTGTGTACAGAAAGGTATTTGAATTCTAAAACACTGAAAAGAGTATGTATTTGCCGACCATTAAACTTTTTTAGTGTCCTCGATGTGAATTCGATGAAAAAGTTCAATGAGTGTTTCAGCAAGGCTATGGATAAAGCACAATACAAGATGTTTCTTGTTTCTGCGGAGATGAATATCGAGTTTAATTGCAAGGAATTCTATTTGAAATATCTTGTTTCCAGATCAATCAATTAAAAGGAGAGAAGGAAAAAACGAGAAATAGATGTACGCTGCAAAGAAAATGGATTGGTAAAACAATTTGTCAGTAGTCTGCGAAGCGAACGCAAGCAATCAGTAATCAGAGTGATCGCGAAAACTCGCATGATGTTTTAGCAGATTCACATTATAATTTTCTGCGAGTTCAATAAAAAGGGGAAGAAAATGTGTTAAACGTTTTCTCCTCTTTAGATGATCATTTGCACATTGGAAGAGTGAAGAAATTGTTTTATACAACGGACCCCAGAAGATTTCAATGTGAGATTATTGGCAGTATCTGCGATATTATTACAGTCGGTGTATCTGACACCATGGACAAACAGCTAGAATATTGATTGAATTGAGTTAATGTCCAAAAAATAGTGTGTGCTTTATGCGAGAATAAAAAACCACAGTGGGAAAGTAGATCTGAAAAAAAAAATGATTTGTCTACTTAGTAAAATTCAGAGAGGCTTTTCTATGTTGATATACATGTGCATTTGAAGTCTCTCTGGATTCTGCATTGTTTTGTGAGCTTGTGTCTAGAGAGCACTGAGTGAGCACTAGTGAGTCCTTTACAACAAAAAATGGCGTTAACTTCAAGTAGACCACTGTATAAACAGCGGACTGAATCGCTGCCCAACACATTGACCTCTGTTATGTTTGGGAATGGTCAAATCAACCCAGAGGATAACCCCAACTACCTAGTTTACAAAAAGGTATGTGTTCAGCAATTGGACAGTCACTTTGGTGGTATATTTTAGGCATTTTTCTTTATTATCCTTGCAAAAGAAAATTTGGTCATTATCATAAACCAGATTGGTCAACGCAAGATCTTTTTTGTTTGCTTTTTTCATTGTTTATGAATGAAAAATTAACTTTTGGTTAAGGTTATTTACACCTGTTGCGTAATAACTTTGGACTGACAAGCCATGTACTGTAAATTTTGCATGTACAGCACTATAAATATGCAGTAAAATTAAACTTTAAAGTGTGAAAGTACATTGTATTATTTTAAGAAATCATTGGATAACTTTTAGGACCTCTTATGTATTAATTGTCGCTGGCTTATCGTCAGTCAACTTGGATAACATTCCATCACTTGTAAGTTACAAACAGCATCGTTGCTGATAAGTGACAACATAAAGGTATTCTGCAAACAACTAACCGCTATCTTTAATCTGCAAATAATACTTTAAATATTCCATTCATTGATCAAATCTGGATTTCGTAAAACGATATTGTTGAGTATTTCGTTAACCATATAAAGCAATAAGCATACATGTGCAATAACTGCAACTAGTGAGCAGCAGTCTATGCAGTGTACAAGTCAATTTTAGAAAACTATTAATTTAATGAAAGGACTGAGGTATAGGATCGTCATGGTTGAGATATATCCCTCGTCACGGTGTATGATTTAATACTGATTCTGAAATGTAAACTTGTATATATATTATGTTGTTGCCCGTTGTGCCTGGTATAACATTCCGGTACTGTTTCATGTGAATGAACAATGAATATGGAAAGGATGTTGAGATTTTAATGATTAGTTGCTTAAAGTATATAAATGGTTAATAGTTTTTAATTTAGGAACATATGTCGTAAAAGAAGTAAAATTGTTGTCCTAGAGATACGACCAATTGAACAGTAACCCTTTTTATGTTGCAGCCGAACGAAAAAAAAACTTTAAAAAAATCAAAAAGATACGTGTACATTGTACATTCAAAGGTTTTCAGTCGTTTCTTTGCGCTTTGTGTACACAAAACCCAGTTTTTGTTTCAAACAAGCGAACTGCTTGCATACAAACATGACTCAGAACTGTTAAAATGAAAAGATATTTATCATCCCTTGGTTCTGTCTTGTAGCCCAACCTCTGCCAAATCTTACAGACGGTTTCTTTTTTCTTATAGAATGATTCTAATTGTAAAGGGTTGAAAAACAAGGGGGAAACTTGGTTTCTAACACGCTTCTTATTCCGCAATGTTCACAATTATCTCCAGTCCACAGACAAATACATGTCATTTTTCTGATATATATCATCAATATGTTAGAATGTGAATATCGTTAGAAAGATGATGTAGATTTCCAAGATGAAGGATGGAATCCATAATTTCTTTTTTTTTCTGGGCCCCTTATCAGAGTGTTAGCAGAAGACAAGATGCTGTCGTCTTTGTTGCAATATTCCATCCGCATTCTAGCAAGAAAGGCTGTCTTGGTAATGTACAGATATTGATCTAGGTCCAAACTGTGTCCAAGACCTACAAAACTGGTTGAAAAAAAAACGAACTTGTCCAAGGCTGTATGTTTAATAAAAAAAAAATCTCAAGCACCAACTCAACAGGTCCGCACTATTAAAACAGAAAAAGGCAACTTACTGGGACTTCAATACTTACGTTAGCTAATTTATTGTAGTAACTAACAGTAGATACAGTCTGCAGTAGTAAATGATTTTGTTCTCAAACTGCGCTTAGATTTCAAGATGGTCAGATAAAGAAAACATTATCCGGAAATAAGTTGGTCAGTGTTTGGTTTTATGACGTAGTTGCTGATGCGAACATCCCATATGACTGCATTATGGATTTGATTCGTGAAGATTTTATATTCCCAAATGTTTCAGCTGAAGGCAATTTCTCCATAAAATGTCAATAGTATTTTATAGACATTAGTATATTATATTAATGGCGATACATAAACTTAATAACACTGCTCCGTTTGGGACCGATAGAAAGTGATTGGCAGAGAAATCAGCTGGCTATTGGAGGGTCGATATGATGCTGGCTGTCGAGTGGTAAGTCCCATGCAGTGCATTTGATTCTGATTGATGAACTGTCCAGAGTAACATTTGAAGCTTAAACCAGCAACCCTCTGTTGAAGTTGATTTTCCTGAGTGATTAGGACAAATTATGAATCATTCCCTTTTAATATTTCATTATTTGCCCGATTGTTATTTAGTGTTGATATCGGGTTTACATTTTATTAAAAAATATATATTAATCTTTGATTTACTTTTATAGTCATTTTGATTCATTTGTCATGAAAATGGTGCCACATTTCTGCAAAACAGGAATTTGTTTATTTAATTCAGTTTTAGGGGGTGCTGGGGTTAAAATAATTGCTTGGTTTGGAGGATTTCCACTGAATTTATATATCAACGTCTCCATGAAATACAAATTGGCAATGTCTTCTAAGATGGTTAATATCTTGTCTCTTTTTTAAAATTACTTTTATCCACTTTCCAAAAATTTTTTATCAACTGTGACTGCAGCCCTGATTTGTATATGAAAATTATTTCCTCTGAATTATTGAGTTTGAGTGCCAAAGTTGAATGCTTATTTAGATGATTTAATAGTCAAATCTTGAAATCTGGAACTTAAAAAGGTTAAAAATTGTCAAAAACTGATATTTGGCAGGGTTGTCAAAACTTTGATTTAAATGTGAGCTATAGTGTTGAAGTTAAATTTCACATTCAAAGTAAGGGTAAGACAGCCAACTCACTTAGACATAATATTATCCAAGGTATTTGACATACCAAGCGTTCAACTAAATGCAAAATAACAAATACATGTAAAAAGTGTTTGATAAATCAGAGTTTTGGAAATTTATTAATCGCCTTTCAGACATTTACCGGTAGTCTGACATAAGTTCTGTCACACAGGACAAAGTTTTAATTGTCAGACCAGATACATGTACCTTAATTTAAACAGAAAGAATAGTAAATAACTGCATAAAAAAGTGCCCTTTACTGTTTTCAATTTTTTTTTTCATCTTATACTTTTCTTTTCTTACTGGTAGAGATCAAACTTTTAAATTTAACAATTTTGCACTATGCCATATGTGGGCACCTCTGTTGTTTATGTGTCCTTCACCTACTCATCCTGATCTTTAAAAATTTACATCAAGCGCAATATTTAAAAAAAATCATTTGGATCAACATTTTATAGTAAGTTATCGGTCCAGACAAACTTTACTGGCCTTCCTTACAGTTTTAAACAACTCTGTAAATTCAAGTAGCTAATATTGATTAGTTACATTTGATTAGAAATGGACAGAGTGTAATTTTCTTGATAATTGGGGTTCAATACAGAGGTTTCCAAACAATTCCTTAAAGTTTGCTTTTTTGTTTTTTAAAGCATAGTTCTGTGTTTCTTGAAGTGTGTAACCACAGCCCCATAGAACGAGGGGAGGGGGACCCAACTTCTTCTGAGTATAGTATTTTAGTATTTTGCTTTAGATGCTAAGGTTGAGCACTGGCAAATTCGAGAGGATTTGGACAGTTAATTAGTCTTTTTTTTCCTTTGCTTGTCAGATTATTTTGGGAAGTCCCCCCCCCCCCCCACTTTTGAAACCATTGCTAAGGGCCTGAACCATATAGAACTTTCATAATCTAAATGAATAGTTACTAAGTACAGTAACTCTAAACATAGTTTTTTCCATGGGATCACAATTTACTGGAACCACAATTTCAGTTCAATCCGTAGGTAGAAAACTTCACAGATTTGTTTAATTGCTTTTTATATCTTAATGAAATGCACTTTAAGTAAGCTGTGATCTGTGGTGTACATAGCATAAATTAATTCTACATGAAAAAAGTATTCATACAGTATTTAGCTTCTTCTCACCATTTGTCTATGTATGTGGTCAAGTGATATTTCATGAATTCAAAAAAGTGTTAACTTTATATGTATCTGCCATATGCATTTTCAATATCTAGGAACACCAAAATGTATATTGTTTTGACTCAGTTTAATAAGAAATAAAACAACTACCCTGTTAATTAAACATAAAATAAAACAACTGTGCGTTTAAAATTAATTTGTCATTTTTTTCATTTGCGTTATTTAACTTTCCAACATCACAAATGGCTCTTACATGTACGTTTATTAAGCACACTAGTTCTGAAAGGCGCTAAATTCATAATAAAGATTAACGAAATAAACAAGTATGAAGAGAGAAAATTAGTGAATGTAAATATAAGCATTGAATTCTTATTTTTGGATGTCGTCGATCCTATAACACACAGCCCAAGCTCTGACCAAAACTGAAGAGGAGGGTCTCTTGAGTTAATGAGCGGTATTCAATTTGTCGGCACGGCCAGGTGTGTTATAGGACCGACGACATCTAAAAATAAGAATTCAATGCTTAAGTAAATGTAGGTAGTACATGTATATTTAAATTTTTGATGAACAAATTTATAGTGTATAGTAACTACTAAATGATATACATTTCATAAATTTGGTGGATATCACCTATTGCTTTCAAAAGGTCATGCTATATTGAATACATTTATGGTCGGGGGACTACTTTTGATATAGTCCTCCACTGCAGTGACCTGCATATTTACTTTGTTTTGTTTGTTTGTTTATTCAAGAAATGGCACATAGAACATGAGTTGACACATGGAATCTAGAGAAATTATAAAATACAAGTAAAATTACATAGGTTCGAAAAACAGTAAATTATATTATAAAAAATAGGTAATTATGAAGAAAAAAAAATTATATTGATATGTCTAAATGAACATAAATATAGACACTGTGTATAGCCATTTTCCCTAGGATGACCCATGAAAGCCATAAAGGCTTATTTCCAAAGGGGTCCTCATAGATTGTAATTGCTTTAGCACTAGTGTTTTGATATAAATAAAAATAAATAAAACACAAATAATTAAATAAGACAAGATATGTATTATAACTTGTGATAAGACCTCAGACAGAAAATT